CGGTGAATAGGACGCAAGCAGATTTTGACATCAAATTTTGGGGTAAAAAAGTGTGTCTTATAAATCGAAAAATACGGTATCTTATAGTTTTATATGCCTTGAGAAACTCTAAGGATGTACTGCAGTATAAATAAGTGATATTAAACTTTTTTCACAATGTGCAATAGTTATGTATACCATAGATAGCAAGCACACCCCAACAGTGTTCTACAAACACATTGGTGCATGAATGGATTTATAATTTCTATAAGTAGATATTACAAGTTTAGAAGAATATTTTTGAAGTTAAAAACTTCTTAAAGTTGCTTGACTTGTTTATTACATATTTATGTTCATATTTGCATAGAGCCATTGAAACCCAACAAGTACAAGAACAACAAGAACTTAGGAATTGTTGGTTGGAATTGAAGCAGGCTGTGCATCACATTTATAGAGATGCAGGGCTTTCTCCTGGTGAAGCTCTAGCTGAGCAGCAGCTACTTCCTCCTAGGGGAGAGCAACCACCTAATGTAGAATTCCTGAGAAAGTTGGTCCATAGGTTAGTACTTACTGTATGTGTTGTTAACATTGAATATTTGTGAGATTTAAGTTTGATTTCCAAAATCGTTTTTCATTGTCTTTTTTTATAAATGCAACAAATTAAGTTGTCTACAACATTATTTGCTGTTTTTTAATTTTTTCTTGTTCAGGGCTTTTTCTAGTGGCAATTCAAGGCCCGATTTTTAATCCTTTTCCATGAAGGAGCGGGGGATTCCCAGTTTACTCTTAAAAATCGTATTTAACATACCCAAAGTTTTATGAATCTTTAGCAGCATATGATTTTGCAAGAACTTGTAAATTGAGACAGTTCTTTGGTGTTACAATTTTGTAGTGTTCTATAACACATGGTAATAAATGTCTCCTAAATGTATCCAACTGATAAAAATGTGTATCTAACCAGATATTTCTGAGTGATTCTTTAGAGCTCTACCCTTCTTGCAAGAACGAACTATTTACTAAAAAGATTAAAAATTCCCTGGCTGGTTGCTTTTAGACTTTATTAATATAATTAATGAAGTATTTGTTTTAATTAATATGTGATTCAAAACCAGAACTGTCAGAACCATGTGCAGTTTAAGCACATGGTTTGCATTATTGTGTATTTTTGTATCAGAGGGCAGTGTAGTTTATTGCTTTAAATCTATAGTAGTCATTTGATGTATTTTAGTTACTACATCATAGAGAGAGTAAACCAAAAAGCCAAGTTCAGTTTTACATTATTTGAAGGATGAGGAATATTTATGTTGTTTGTTATGATTATTTCACTGTGTTTTGCTAGTATTAAAAAATACAAGTATTGATTTGATTTTTACTTCCTGGGGAAGCGAATATCATACAAGTGGAATGTGACAAAGCTGACACCTGATGTTTAACATGAAAAGCTGCCTCTGATTTTATGATTTCTCCAAAAATATTTAATCAATACAAAAATTTAATGTAAGTTTTTTTTATCTCATTGAGGATGCTTGCCTTATACCTTACTTGTGTATTAAGTGTATGTTTCTATGGAAGATTACTTTCAGGATGTACCAGGCATTTGCTGTGGTATTTGCCTTTTCTTCTTGTGAACTTGTGTTTGAATTTTAAAGACTGTGACGATATAGAACTATTTTTTGTATTTTCCATAGTTTGCTTTTATATATATACCTAATTTCCCAATTACTAGCAGAATGGCATAAAATTCCCAATTTAGAAGACTTCAAGCCCTATTTAAAAATTACTGAAAAAGCCCTGATGTCTTTGTTTGTTGACCTGCTTTCTATTAAGTTTTTGTATTAACACATCCTCTTTTTATCAGATTGCACTAATCTTATTTTAGACAGAAAGATATTTTTTCTGTAATTGTTTTTCCTTTTTTGCTGCTGCCAGTTTTTATGAGCTATTACATATAATAACATATTGTTACTTCATATATTGTATGGTTTTAACGCAGTAAAACTATTATAAAACATACAAGGCAGAAGAAGCTTTTTAACTCTTGAACACTTCAGTAATTATGTTTTGATGTAATATAAGATGAGTTTGATTAACCCTCATGATATGGCATGAATATAAATACTAGATCTGGATGACTCGCTAGATTAATTGATTACCTATGAGTCTCAATAAAGCTGTTGATGTCATGAAAATTATCAGCTAATTCTAATTAGTGTTTCTGATTATTATTATTATTTTCAGTGTTTCCAACTATCAGTCTCATGCAAGAATAATGATTAGTTGAATGTAATCAATTCATGAGCCTAGCAATTAATGATTTAGCAAATTCCACTAATTGCCCAGCTTTGGTAAATACTCCAGTTTAGTCTGAGGTGACTTAAACTCGTATATATAGTGAATGAATTGAAAAATGGGATGTGTTATCAGCAAATTAATGTATTTTCTTACCATTGGCCATAAATAATCCAATAGCAAATGTCATGGAGAATTATTGACAGTTTTTGAAAGGCGGTATGTTGATATGAGTTTCTGGTTTATATCTCATTACAGCAAGAACATTAGATGCTATAAATTGATATTGTGTCCTAGTGATATCTGTACATTAATTGTTTAACTTATGTCAATCTTAGAAGACCACATAGGTGTAGAAAGAAAATCTAAAATGGGCAATTCAGAGTGAAGAAGTGTCATGTAATACAGAGATTGTGAATTTATTTAAATATTGCTCTTTGAAATTAAGAATTAAAACTTATATAATTTTGAAATTTGGATTATAAACAATGTTTTCATGTTTGGTGTTATAGAATACATTGATAATAAAGTTGTTTAATTAAATTTTGAATGTAACTCTGTAAAAGGTTGTGACATGCACTTTGAAGCTCCCTCCCTCGTTAGGGTTAATAAAACATACCTACTAGATCTTAAATCATTAGATAAAAGTACATTTTTTACTTTTACCTGTATCTTGCATTATTAACCCTTTTGAGACAGGTAACAGGTGAAAGGCCATGCCACCTCCTTTGTTGACTAGCATTCAAAATGTTATTGAACTACTATTTCATGAGTTGATGTCAATAAGTTTGGTATCAAACTGTAGATTATAATTCAAATTTTAGTACTATATATTACTTAATTTAAAAGCAAGTATTAAAAAACAGATAAACAGATTATTGTGTGTCCGTAATATGTTGAATGAAGCTCTGATTCAAATTAGATGTTTGTGAA